ACCCGCAATGAAGCCAATTCCAAAGTTGACCACAACGATTCGAGACCCGTTACACACGCCGTTCTTGATGTCCATATTTCTCATAACGACCAGAGGCATGCCAATCTTGATCTTCAGCTCATGATCTGGGAATCCACCAACACTTATCTTGTTGAGACATTCCTCTGGCAAACTTCCTACGCCATCAGGATCAGGTGTATTGATTGAGCGTAAACATGATGCTTGACCTGGCAACATATCTAATATTTCATCATTAAGTTTCCTGATGTCCCGGTTGAGTGGCGCCAAAATACATCGTTCGTTGAGGTACATCACATCCTCAAATTTACTCGATCCACTCCGCTCCCTCAACTCGCCATATACAAATTTTGTTAAATCTTGACGCATCTCATCCTTTGAACTGCATGCCTTGATGTTGATATGGTTAAGTTTGACAACACTGAAATCAGATTTCTGCTTCTTTCCTTCGCCTAGTATAAGTAACGCTCTTGCAAATGATGAATTTTTGTCGTTGCATGATGAGTTAATCGCTTTGGCTAGTCGCATATTCTCCGTTAGCTTGAACTGCCTGACCGATGGCCATAATTTTGACGACTTTATTGTTGAGGCGTAAGCGGGAGGATATTCGTTATACTTGACTACTGGAAGTATTTGACGAAAGTCACCTGAGAATATGACAACCTTGCCACCAAAATTGGCTTCAAACTTGCACAACCTTTTCAAGGACTTGTCAACAGCATCGATGCAGTTTTTATGGATAGTGACAATTTCATCCCAAATGATCAACTTTGCTGTGATTAATTTGTCACTAATGATTGTGTCTTCATCCAACGGACATTCGGCTCCAGGTGCAACATCAATCGGTATTTTGAAAGTCAAATGTGCCGTTTGCCCTTTCCTCAACAATAGCGCCGCAACACCTGAAGAAGCACACACAATCGACGCAATCCCATTCAAGTCTGCCCAGTCTACGATGCTGTTCAGCAGAAAGGTTTTCCCAGTTCCACCGGGTCCATCGAGGTAGAACATCTTCCCTTGTGCCACGTTCATTGAATTCTTGACTTTATTGAAGAACAAGTTTTGGGATTTATTGAAATTTGCTTGGTTTGATAAAAGCCTACTGGCAACGGTGGGCCAGCTACGCTAACCGTAGCGTTAGCGTAGCGTAGTGTAGCAATTTTTCGCTACAATTTAGCGTAGCGTTAGCGCTTGTTTCTTTTTTTGCGCTAACGCTACGCGCATGGGGCGAAAACGTGCGCTAACGTTTAGCGTAGCGTTAGCGCGATTCCCCCCATCTGCGCTAACGCTACACGCACAGGCCGCCAAAAACTGCCCGCTACGCTGTGTTACGGCCGTTTTTAGCGGTTTTTTGCCGTTTTTTGCCGCTAAAAACGCTGTAGCGTAGCGTAACGCAGCGTAGCGGCGCCAGCGGCGCGCTAACACTACACCAAAAAAAGGCTAGTGTTAGCGCCGCTACAAATTAGCGTAGCGCAGCGGCCGTAGCGGCGCGCTAACACTACACGAAAAAAAACAAAAATTGGCGCCGCTACGCTAACACTACATGGGCCCGTAGCGTAGTGTAGCGTAGCGGCCCACCGCTGCTACTGGAGATTAATTGTGGATTTTCATTGTCGTCCCTCTCGGCTTCTAGTGACCTAAGTGTTTGACGTTGTTTTGCGGTTATGGTGAGTCCGCAACTGTTGAGTGATCCGCCCATTCCCTTGAGGAGTGACTCAAGCTTAAAGATAGCCACAACTTTCCGCTCTCGAATGTTCAACTGGCGGCTATGCCGCTTCTTCATGTCAACGCAGCTGCAGTCATCCGTAAAGCTTAGATAATGGGTCTTGAACAAAGTTAAAGGATCCGATGGTGGTGAATGCATGCAGATCATTGCAAACATTTGGGCAAGTTGGAATCCACTTCTGACGATTGCTGCTTCATGTAAGGCTTCATTGTATAGATAATCATTGACAAGTAGACCTAACGCATTGCACGCATCTTGGTATGATTTGAAAACCTCTCCGTCGACCTTTCTCAAATCCTCGAATGATGTATAACCTTTACGGTGAAGGAGAAGGACTCGTAGATAGAACCTTTTGCCTGCAAGATAGGAAATCGAAAAAACTCGTCCAACAGTTAAAGCCTTTTTCTTCCTTGGTACCCAAACTTTATCGGATTTATTCCAGGAGTAGTATGCAGGAATGTCTTCATAAAATATTTGTCTAGATGGGACTCCATCGGCGCCGATAGAATTTGATGCATTCAACTCGAAAAGGCCCGTTAAAGTTGTTTGGCTTGCTTTTCCACTGTCAATTCGCCCAGAAAGATTATCTTCACCCTCAAAATAAACAAGGTGTTCATCCTGATCATGAACAGATAGCCTTGCCACTGGCGGGAACCTGTCTGAAAGGGGGTACTTGAAAAGGCGCCAGGCAGCTAAAACAAATCATCAGCCAAAGTTCAGTTGATAACGTTAGACATGGCTTACCCTCAATTGCACTTATATATTGCCCATCGACAAATGATTTGACTTCGTCCTGAGAATCAACAGCCAAGGCCATCCTATCATGACCCTTCGTGATATACTTATACAGATATTTGATAGCTGTCGTGTTAACTGGCACTTCGACATTGATATGGCACTGAAATTTTAGTGTTAAGTATGGATTGTACGGAACAACTGATCCATTGTGGAATACTGAGGCGTGTTTCTTGACTCGTGATCCGTCGTCCCTTCGTTTGTAGATTGGGTAGGCACCATCAACGTTAACGGTGCGTTCGGAAAATGGTTTTGGGAAACCAAGCTTGCAAGACTTTCCATTCCAGCAAGGACGGCCTTTGCACGGCCCATGAAGCATGAACTCAGACACAAGACTATGGAGTTTTGGCGATGTTTTAATGTCCGGAAGCTCTGCCGAAACAATCTTGTCAATTTCCTCAGGGGTTATTGGGCGGTCGTTCTCAGCAAGTGTAAGCATCAAGTGGAGATGTGGCAGACCACGTTTCTGGAATTCGACCGTATATACAAAAGCAAGAACTTTCCCAAACCTTTCCATCTTGACAAGTTGATGAATTAATTCGTTCATTTTGAGATAAAACACCCGTGCAACAATAGTTGGGTGATCAGAAGCTTTATCTCCCGCTGGAATTTCATCGAGAATTTCTTGCCACTTTGGGTTCGCCGTCATTGTGATGAAGAGAGATGGAGGCCCGAACTTTCTGCATATCGCCATCGCATCATGGTAGAGTTGTTGCATACTCCGAGGACTTCCAATGAATGATGATGGCAGGATTACACATCTTCCACTAACAGGTGACTGGTTTTCAAGAGAGTTGATTAAATGCTTATAACTTGCTGCCTTGAGTTTTCCCTGATTGTTCGTCACAAAGGCAAGCCGCCCACGTTCAACACAGACGTACATGTCGACAAGTAACTCCTGTGTTAGGGATCGGCCCGCTAAGATTGGAGAAAATCTCTTTCGGCGCCGGAAGAGGAGATAGGCAAACCATTCGAGTGAACCTACCTTTCTGTTTTTGACTGAAAGTTTATGGTGTCAGATTTCATTAAATCACTGAACAGATTAAGACCTACCTCTTCCAGTCCATGCTGCATATAAGTTGTCCCATTGTTGCTGGCCATAAGGGAAAAAAATTGGATACCGGAGGGGGAAATACGATGAGTGCATGTCGGAGATTTCTTCTAGCCTTTCATCTTTTCGGTGAAGGACAATCTGACGTTCGCCAATGACATCGCCATCACCCTGGACAACAACACCAACCTCATCAACAGTCGGACAGTTATACCGTTTTGGGTCTGCTCCAGGCATTGTGACTCCTTGCAAGCTTATCGTTTGAGCATTTGACTTTGAGAGAACGTCTAGTGCCGTCCGAAAACGTTTTGCGTATGGGTTAATTTCTCCCATCAAGCGAACTAACATCAGAATTGTACCAGGCTTCATCGTAGTCTTTCTGAGGTTATTGCGGCTTTGACCCAAAGCGCACTCTAGCCTATATTCAGCCTCTTCGACGCCATTGTCCCCGACAACGTATATTTGTGAAAATCCAGGCGAATTGTCCTTAGGCTCTAAACTCGAAATTCAATGTGACAAAGCGCCAGATATCTTGAAAATGTTTACGCCCATTGGTCCTTGAACTGAGTAGTCAACCTTTGCGCCCAACGACGTGAATGATATCGCATTATTATACATCCTTGTCATCTGTTGGAAATTGATAGCATCTTTGGCAAACATCATCAGTTTATGTCAACTAAGATGTATGAAATCCTTACCTTCATCTTTTCCAATAAGCAGTTTTCTTAACTTCGACGGGTACCTTGGTGCACTCTCATCAAAGTCTGGCAAGTTTACCTTATTCTTTTGACAGCATGCAGAGTATGACTTAGTCTTTTTCAGCCGATCCAATAGAGTTGCCTCATCCTTCCAATGTAGCGCGCCACAAGATTCGCATGATTGGTCGCATCGTCCAAGTCTGTGTGGGACGGAGTAGTCGCTAGCGTTGATGAGATTCGACTCGAAGTCAGGTGATGTGCTATTGAGAATCTTTGATTTGGAGTTGATCATGATGAAATTAAATGATTTCTGTAAATATTATGAGTCCTATTTTGTTGACGTTACAATTTACTGTTGAGTCCGAGCACTCAATTCATGTCATGAAGCCCCAACTGAGCCAACTGAGCCAAAACGTCACCTTATATTATACTATCTTCATTTGAATGCTCGGAAAAAAGACAAAGCTGTTCTCATAAAAACAAAATTGTGAAACACTTAAATGGCATTTTCATTGGAGACCTTAATACACAACACCTCCTTATTGCCAAATAAAATGGACTTAATTTATATTTGGCTGATACCTTGGCATTCACAATTTAAAAACTGTTTCAAATAATGTGGTGCTTGACAACTTTTCTCATTTAGGGTGATGGGATAACCAAGACCAAAAAATACCTGGGTCAAATGCATCTCATGGTTAACTATGAAGGATCATTCAACCTGGGCAGATATTATTGTTAGCTCGAAACCATGACTTAAAGAAGAAGTCATTGCTTACCATTAACTTTATAACTCCTGATTCAATTTCTTCCCCAATGAACCGTCCGCAGAACTCCAGTGTCTGTCCAACCAATTCTTCGGTATCGGGGCCAATATTAAGTGAGCTGCTCGGTAAGATTATTCGGATCTGTATACAGGAAGAAAGATCCTGCTCATAGAAGTGAGTGCTTATCACATAGTTGAAACTACCCTATCAAAAACTTACTTTTGGCTGATGGTTGACTAAGATTTGATGATAGGACCCTTCTGTTATCGCTGGAATGGTCACTTTTGACACCAACCTTACTTTTCCACTTCCCTTGACCCAAAAACCATCCCTCGTCGCCTCTGGTTTTGTGCTCTCCGTTCGAACCGCTAGGAGTGGGTTGAACTCCCATGCAGTGCCACATGTGTTGTCCCGGGTTATAATCCCACGGATATTGTACAGTACACCGGTCGTTAAGTTGTACCCATAACTGTCGAGACAAGGAGCAACTATCGTTTTTACAATCTTGTTGTCTTGAAAGTAGACATGACTGTGAGCATAATGAAGACCTGTTTCAGATAACAGAAGAGCTTTGTAGATGTTATAGCAGCCCCTGTCGAGGTCCCATGATTTGAACTAGAAGTTTATGTTGTGTCAGTTGGTGATGATGAGCAATTTGTTCAAATTGTTGTTTAGGGCTTACCGTTTGATTGAATATACAAGCACCAGAAAAAGTCAGATCAAGAACTCGGCTTGAGGAACTGTACGATATAAACAGCTCTTTATTTTCGGAAGATTTATTGATAACCTGACTCTTGTCTTGCATTTTGTGAGAGCGTAAAGATGAGTTCAAATGCCAATTAGATTAGTTAAGTATTCTTGAATAATCTGAAATGTACACATGTCCAAATGGACTTCCCCCTCTTATAACAATCCACCTTGTTAATACGGCGTGCCCCCCACACTTGGTCCAGTCCCAGATACCATTTCCGTGGCAAACAGGCAAGTGGGTAGCAATTGATTTTCGAACATCAAATTCTTGACCTAGTTGGTTTGTAACTCAACATCACAAGGCATTGTGTTTCTGTTGCTACATGTAAGGAAGCCCCGGTGGGTTCATTTGTGGTAACACGGAGTTCAATTTAGATAGACCAGTACAATACCAAGGGAAACCTTTGTCATCACCATCATTTTAGACTACTTGCCTGATACTGGAGTGCAAGGCATGACCCCTGCTGTAAATAATTTGATCCTTTATGGCGAAGATAACTTGACAGGTCATCGTCTCTCAGAGAACTTGATAGCAGGATTTGTTTCTATGTGAGAGTGTTCGCCTGGCTAAACTCGGACAGGCTTGCAAGGACAGTTTGGTTTGTTTTAGTTTTAAACGTCACATCTTACCCAAAAGGACCACACATAGCCGATTGCTGAGTAAAAATCTTAGGTTGAGGGTGATCTTATACAATATATAAATCTTCAAACTTCACAATTGTCAAGAGAAGGACAATTCATCAATACACTCAACTCGCTGAATACCCCTAGGCGTGTACGACGGCAAATTATCAGTCTGGACAGATTATAGATGAATCAAAAGAAGACGGCATGTTCCATACTAAAACTAAATTGTACTCAAACATACATCATCAGCATGCTAAACACTTAATGATTGCCTTTAACATAAGTCTTGTGATCGCCAATATAACACGCGTCCCGTGGCTTATTCCGAAATGATTGCCGATTGAAGATAGCCCCACTTTGTGTATCCCGGGACGTTGTTGCTGTTTTTCTGTTGATCTGCATCAACATACCAAGCTGGTCGCAAGTTGGATCGTTTGTTGAGTGGAGTGTACAATGCCTCACTTCTTTCGCTCGCCAAACAACTTTGACAAATCCGTCATGTTTCGAAAAATCTATCCCACACCGATAATCCGGGAAAACAAATTGTCCACCGTTTAGCTTTGTCGGACGTTCGGATCTTGCGATTGACCAGTCACTTTTGTTGACCGGAATGAACAAGCCAAATGCGAATTCGGAGAGATCTTCATCATCGCAATGGGGAGGATTGAAAAATCCATTGGCTGTAAAAGTCAAGTTTGGAGCGCAATCGTCATCGGTAATCGGCAAGTTAAAGGCAAGATGCCCAATCGCAGGAATGGAATATTTCCTCATGACCTCTTGGTTATCTTCAAAGGCAACATTTGTGAGACGCTTGAACATTCGGCCAAGGATACTTGATATTCTGTAAGATTTCCGCATGAGGGCATTGTAAGTCTCTGGCGATTTTGCAATCGCTGCCTTGTTGCGATAAATTCTGATTAGTTGAAAAGCAACCATTGCCTTCCTCCATCCGATGGCAAACATTTTCCCTCCCCAAGAACGGCTATCGGAGTCGACGGCATTGACAAATTGCTTTGCTGAAAAGAGGAATTGTGTTACATCATCCAATTCGTCTAAATCCGCGGTTTTTAGTTGGTCCCAGGTCGTGAACTCAATGAGAGCTATTATCTTCGATTCTTGATCCTTGTCATGGATGACAACCTTGCCATGGTCAAAGTATTTGAATTTGTCGGTTAACCTTTTGCAAAGTTTAATCTCGTCGAGGGTTGGAGTTCGGTCGGGATCATCCCCCAATGTGTGTGGATAGAGGTCGAGTGGAATATATCGTTTTGAGGACCAAATGATCTGGTCAAATGGTTTGTTTGGCCGATCTTTCGAACAGACTGGTTTGGGCGGACTGTTATCTTTATCAAACGGTGGGGACGGTTTAGAGGTTATGGTTGATATGTTACTACGATCTGAACTATCCACCGTTAAAGATAATTCACTGGTTCGGCTGTTTGCATGCTTTCGGGACCGGTTTTTCCTTTTCCGTTCGGCCAAATAAGCCTTTCAAGTAGCCGTCATATCCTCAAGGCGCGAAAAGTATTCTACTATCACACTCAAGAAGAAACTCAGGTTTACAAGTTGGGGCGAACAGTTTGTGCCTGGCTAATGACAACGATGAAAGTATGTCTAACGCGTTTTCACTACAGTAATCAAATGATCGGACAAATTGGTCAAACTGGTCAACAAGGAAGATAAGTGAGGTGGGCAATGAGGACAACGTACAAAGATGTGTGATGATCCCGACAAGATGAATCCCCTCTTGAATGTCAATTTTATCGGGTGATTGAGGATTTAACCCCCAAACAAAACGTGAAGGACGGTTTTATCGCTTTATGATCCGAACTGAGATTTATGGCAAAGCAGTCCTTGAGGAATCGCGGTATGTCGATGGATTGGCCTACTGCTAGACTGGCAGTTAGTGTTGTTTCCGACGAGTGTTGGTATCAATATTGCTGCTAATGATTACCATGCTCACCAGATCAATAATAACTAATAATCTCCTGAATGAAGCCGTGATGATTTGGGAGTTTGGGCTTGAGCTACCCTCCGTTGATATGTTGAGGCTGGAAGAACAAATTGTCTAGCCCAACACTATTGATAGAACGAAGGGAACTGTAAGATGAATGGTCGGCGGAGGAGAATTTCAGTGAGACAGTCCGTTAATACCCGATCTGCTTGAATAATCTAATTGAGATTGAAAGTGAGATCAGGACAGGATGATCACCTCTTCTATTTGTGTGGGTTTGACTAAAAACGACCTTCAGATTCGTTGGTGACGGTCCTGAGAATGATCGTACAAATCGGAGGAGGTTGAGCGACCATGTTTGAGGTTAGTTGAAACAGTTGTGATTGTAAAATCGAGTTTTGGTTCAACCTGATCGTGCGGGGATGGGTTGGGAAAGGAGACTCACGATGTCTTCAGGGTGAATACGGATAAGTCGAAGTTCAGCTTCCGGCGCCGGAAGTGTCAGGACGGTAGCTGTCTGATAGAGCAAAATTGTCAGTTTTGACTGCGGGCTCGGGCCTTGGCCGTCAGCAACAACAAGAAAACATCAGCAAAGCCGGACTAACTGCGCTTCCCGCGTGTCGAGCGTAGCAAGGGAGGGGATTTAAGGCTTCTCCAGCTATCCGTCCTTCGTCCATCCCAACCAATGTACGTGTCCCATTTTCTTTTTCCCTCAGTACTGCAATCAAACCCATGCCTCTCCCCCACTGACTTTCTCGTTCCTCAATCTGCTCAGGTCGTCTTAACCTCCTCGAACCAAAGAGCTTTTCGGAACCACCAGTCTTACCCGTTTATCCTTGTTCAAAACATCCATGGAACCGACCCCGTTCCCTTAATATCCGGGAATACATCAAGCCCGCTCGTGTATGAGCAAAAATGGCACACACACCGCTTTCTCAACCAGACCCTACCCTATGGCAAGGCAATCAGAAGCGCAGCGCAACGAGAACTTCCAAATTGCGACTCTCCCAGCTTTTTCTTTTCTGCACCAAATCTAACAAGCATTTGTTGCCCAATACAATGTACACAGTTCAAAACTGCTCGGTCAGACTCCCATGAGTCTTTTTGATCAGCTTTGCTAAATATGCTTTATTTTTGTCAAAGAAACAGAGGAAGTTTAAGAATCATTAGGAAGTAAAGAAATATTTATATATGCATTGCGGAATCGAAGTCGAATTTGAGGGGATTCGACAAAAGGGACAGCGGATAATATTTGAGGGGGATGCTATTGTATTAAAGGGAAAGAGTGATCGATAAAGAATCAAGGGTGATGACCAATACCCTCTGCAGCACTTGCATCTTTCTTTTCTGAATGAGTGTTAGAGGGAGGATTAAGAGACATTTGGATGATGATTTCTTTGGCGATGTCGATCCGAGAGGTATCCCAAGCGACGGGGTAAGCTTTAGAATGATCGTAGAGAGACCAGGGCAAGCCGTCGACAGAGGCGGTGTGGAACTACTCTTGGGAGGAATAGAGCTTGAGAGGGATGAGTGCTTTAATGGGCTGCCTCTCTGATAACAAGAAAATATAAGAGTATGGACTCTTAAGGAAAAAGGTGTGGCTGTGGAGATTTCTTGAGGATGGTATGTCTAATATTTCTTATGTTTACTAGTCTAAATATACTTGTTCACAAATCAAGGTATCCCAAATGTTGATGGGCAAATACCTGGCTAATAATGGGTGATCAGTTATCTGAATTGCTGGGGCAGGATCTGATGGGGAACAAATGAAGAGGGAAAACAAAGCTCCTTATATACAAAATTCTGGGGAGTGGCCAGCTTGTGGTTGGAAGATAAGTGGGACATTCTATGAAGAGCATGAAACAAGGGAAAATATTTATCCAGAGAAAACAGGGGAAACAAGCAGTGGGAAAATGCTCCCAAGGTTACTTAGTATGAAACCAATAAGGGGGGAATATTCCATGGAAGGAGATAGGAGGAAATAAATGTTTCATGGATCAGGTGGATTACTACTAGTGTGGAACACAAGGGGTAAGAAGAATGGAATATGTTTGGAGGGGGATGAGTTTCAGGAGTGGGGAGTTTCTGGCTGGGAAATATTATTATCCATGTGGTCTGTGCTTGAGGGGATTCATGATTGGTTTGGGGGTCTGGGGAGCTTTCTGGGGTGTCTTGATCCTGTAATTCTTGTGTGATTTTTTGCTCTTGATGTGCTTGAAGATTCAGGATTGGCTTACCACATCCACCCCCAAATTAGATGATGTCCCCATCATCCAAAAAAAAAAAAAAGAGAAAATGACAATCCTGATGATAACTGAAAAATATATCCTAGAAAGAGAAACTGGTCTTAACTGTGGAAATTCATGATTAGAAATAATGCCAAAAAAAAGAGAAAGAAACAAAAATATGTGGTTGTTATATTTAGAGGAATTGTTTTTGTACTTTTATCCTATGTAATGATTTTTTTTTCTATTTTTATTTTTATTTTGATTCATCAATTATTTATGAAAGGTTCTGATATCTTGGTTCTTCATGTAGCCCAGGGAATGATAAAAAGCAGATGACTGATGAGGGAAAAATAAGAGCAGAATGAATAAACTGGAGCTTAACCACCCCCAAATTAGAGGTGAAGGGGGTCTGGGTTGGTTAGGTAAGAAGTTTCTAAGGCTTTTTAGAAGAGTAATAAAGTGTCTTTGAGGAAAAAGAGTAGGGGGACACCACCCCCAAATTTCGGAATTTTGAGGGGTGATTCAGGGTTTAACAAGATTGAGTTAGATTAGCCTTTTTCTTTCAGTGAAAAAAAATTAAAATTCTCATCTCTTCCTCTTTTTTTTTTTTTTTTTTTTTTTTTTTTTGAACGACTTTTTCCATTTTTCTTCCATCTCAGATGTCTTGATGTAGATTTATCCTGTCAGAGAGTTGGCCTGAATCCAGGTTGAAACAGATCGGAGGAGTATTGAATTTGGGAAGTATTCCAGATGTGAAACAGGCCTTCTTATCATCTGATTGAGATTGCTGGTATCCATAGCTAGTACAATGGGGTTGAAATCGGTGTTGAGGTGATGAGACAAGTTGAAAGCCTCCTCCGTAAGGTTCCATGAGAACAAGCCTTCATATTCTTTGTTTCTTGTTGTCCGTACAGTTATATACCCCTTGGCTTTAGTCGCTATGTGAGATCTTAAAACATGCTTGATACCTGGGTCAAATAGTCCGCTGAGGTGATTGAAATCATCTCTCTTGTTATTACAATTGATCCTTCCTTTCCACTCCCAAAAATGCCAATACCATTGAATGAACTTCTGAATGCTGCTAATCATTGACTCTGGTATATTGCCCTCTGATCGATCTGAAGCTCCCATACTGGCTGATATTTTCACACTGATCCGTCTCCAACCCTGACTTGTCTCTTTATTATCCGTCTGTGAAAAAGCTAACCAATCTCCTAGTCGTCTCTTGCTCTTGGTAGTGTGAGATCCCAAGCTCAAGATTTCTTCTGACCAGGATGTTGATGGAATTGTTTGCTGCCTATTTCTTTTAATAGTCTTACCCTCCTTAACGCGAAATAAAAGCTTGAAACATGACAGTCTACCCACTTGTTTTATATGCTGAAGTCTTGTTTGGAAGCTGCCTGTCTCCGGAACCGACCAGTTCTTTCTCGTTATTCTTTTCCAATTCCTCAGACAACCTGAAACCTTCCTCACCACAGAATTCCTTGCCTTCTGGTCCAAGCGATCAGAAATTCCAGAAGCTCTTGGCCTTCCAACACTTGAAGCTTGAAAGAGCAATTTAAAGCTATTCGCATATGATGAAACCAGACCACCATTGCCATCGTCCAAGCGAACTGAAAATAAAACTTCTGTTGAACTTTGCGCAACATTCCGAGTTCGAACACCCCTTCTAAATCTGTTCTTCAATAAAATTGACCAATCACTTGCTTTATTTCCAGTCTGTCTCTTGGAGCGATCACAACCAATTACAGCTGCTGACTCCCTGGAGACTTTCCGACCGCGATCAAGACTTTTGAACATGTATTTTTGCCCAGGAAGTTGCTTGTAGTTTGTGCTCCTTTGATGCATCCAGCGCGAAAGATTGCTGATGTAGTCCTTATTCCACTTCCTGTTGATGTCCTGAACCAAACACGCGAAGATGAGCGAAGCAGAACTGACCGCTTCAACACCTATAGTACATAGTCTAATCAAATCAGAGTGGATCGATGGTGTGTATCCTGATCTTTTGATAGGAAGAATGATCCTGTAACTGATCGATCTTTTTCTTTCTCTCTCCTTGAATCGCTGATCCAAATCATTTAAACTAACCAAAGCAATACTGTCTACTTCAACCTCTATGGTCTGTAGCTGTGGTTTGCTTTCTGATGAGATCGATCGTTTGCTCATGGCTGTTTCCTTGTGTGGTTTTGACTGAACAGAAGATCCTGTAGCTTCAACGTTCCTTGTGTCGGTCCAACTGTGATGCAAAGCACCTGACCTGTACTCTATCGGGTCTGACTGCTCTTTATTGGACATTTCATTGGTCGCTTCCCAAATGCAATAGTATCGAGGCCCTGTAGCTGGTGCGTATTTTTTCCTAGTCGCTGGGACCGAGGCCATAGATTCTGCAGATTCCATGAGTTGCACACAATGTTTTACTTCTTTGAAGTGTCCTCCAAGCAAAATCTGACTTCCCTGCTTCCTATCGATATTCAGAATCCAGCAATCCGATCCAAGCAAATCAAAGCCATTTGCTTCAAGAGACATATTCCCTAGCTCCTTGGTGTGATTCCAACCATTCAAGTATCCTATTTGGTTCTGTTTGATGCCAAAAATTGAACAAACCAAGCAGCAAAAAACCAGCAGGGGAAGACCAACACTCAATTTTGGTGGATAAGGCATTGCTGATGAGAGATGAGTTGATGAATTTTCTTCTGATTTCATCAAACAACTTCTGTTGAATCCAGGTTTTCTCCTCTTTCTGATGCTGATTAATTTTATTCCCTTTTTTATAGATTCCATAGGTTTTGTCAGGCCAGACCTTTCCAGGGTAACCAGAGGGGGATCCAGCAAATTTTGACTGATATCAGGGGGCTTGAAGGGTGGGAATGTTTCTTGGTGGGTTGTAGGAGAAAAATATTCTGGGAAAATTTTTGTGATGGAGGCTGATTGAAAAAGCATTTCTTCTGTTTTTGCAGGGTCTGTTTCCTTGTTGTAGGGTCCTAATATGTTGTTGAAGTTTCTCTGAGGATCAAATCCTTGGCTTGTAGGAATAAAAACTGCTTCCTGGTAGAAAATTGCAGCTTTTGCATCTTTGTAGAGAGGTTCTGCAACAAGGGTCTCCATGGAATTCAATTGTGAATTGGGAATATAATCAATTTCTAGAAATATATTGGGTGCAATGTTTGAAATGGGTTCTTCTGGGGTTCCAATTCCTTCAGGTAAAAATACTGTGGAATTTATTGTGGGGTACTGAATTGACTGTACTGAATCCAAGGTTGATACATCCTCTGGTTTGATATTCTGACCAAATTTTTCCTCATTTTTCTCTTCCACCAGGGTTGTCAGGGAGTTTTGCATTCCAGGAATAGGATTAACTGGGGTCTCTTCAACTTGGAATACTGGTAAAGTCTCTTCTGGGGAAATGGGTTCTTCAAAAAGTTCCCTTTCTGATCCAAGATATACTGATTGATTTTTATCCAAGGGATCCAAATTCTGGCTATTTTCCAGGAGCTGAGGGGGAAATTCCAAGTTTACAGGTGCTACTTGTGAGCAATTTTCCTCAAGCATGGCACATGGTAAGGATATTTCTGAGGGAATTTTTGCTGAAATGACTTCTGTTTCTGATCCAAATTGTTTTGTCTCTGTGTTGTCCAAGGGTTCCAAGGTTTCCAGGGATTGGCCATTTTCCAAGTTCAGGGGAAAGTCATCCAAGGTTGAAGAAAGTGCTGGGGGGAGATTTTGTGTAAGTGGTGACTGGATTCCTGAGTTATATTCTTCCATGTGGGCTACTGTATGGAAATTCTGATCTGTTTGTCCAATTTCTGGTGCAGGTTGATCAGGTTCTTGAAGAAAATCCATTTTTTCAAACTCCATATAAATATATTCCAGAATTACAGTATAGGGTGGTATTTCTGCAATGTGAAAATTTCCATCCAGAACCAAGTGACCATCCCAGATGAGTGGATCAGATATTAACCTCTCCAACTTTGGGCTGATGGATCTCCAAAGGTAGTTTGAAAATTCATCCATGTGGAAATTGTGACCATTTCTGATGAGGTAGTGAGTGATTGCTTCAAATTGGATTCTGAATAGTTGGAGGTGTTCTAGATTTTTTATTCCTCCCATGCTTATAGTGGATCTGAACAAACATTGCAAATCCTTTCTAGCATATTCCTCCTTGGTGAAAGGCATTCCATCTTTGGGGCTGTAGACAATGCTCAATTTTTCTGTTCTTTCCAGATCAGTAGGAAGGGGGCCAAGGGATGAGTTTTCAGGTGTATGTGGCCTTTCTGTGCAGTTTCTTTGGTTGAAGTTTGAATTTTCCAAGGGCAAGATAGGGGATTTGGCCTTGTTTTCAGGAGGGTAAGTCTGATTCCCTTCTATTGTCCTGGGTCCTGGTGATTTGAGTGGCTGACCTCCAATTGATTGTTGTAACAGGGTTTGTTGAGTTTTCAGTGGGTCCAAGTTGTTATTTTCTGAGGGAGGGAGACTGATATTGTTCCTGGGTCCTGGGTGGGTAGGGGCTAATCCCAGATTTTTTTGTCTTGAAGGTCCTTTGAAAGCAGGGATGACCATGGTGGAAACATTGATTAATTTGGCCTTCATTATCTGTGGTCCAGGGAATGGTCCAGAAAAGGAATATCTTCTTGGTGGAGAATTCATGGTGGTGGTGGAATTGTTGAGATTTCTACTGTTATAATATTGTTGCTGTTGATCTAATGATATGTGGTTAATGCAGATTTACCAATGAAGATTTCTGCAGGGAATGATAATGTATGTAAATTCTGAATTCTAATAGGGTTGGTAGTAACTAGCTAATCTGTAAATGTATATTTAGCATAGGAACTGTAAGTGGTAGTGACTGAAACCAAAAGATCTGTTGAGCCACTGTTGGGACACCACTTGTGGAACTTCTCTTGGGAGGAATAGAGCTTGAGAGGGATGAGTGCTTTAATGGGCTGCCTCTCTGATAACAAGAAAATATAAGAGTATGGACTCTTAAGGAAAAAGGTGTGGCTGTGGAGATTTCTTGAGGATGGTATGTCTAATATTTCTTATGTTTACTAGTCTAAATATACTTGTTCACAAATCAAGGTATCCCAAATGTTGATGGGCAAATACCTGGCTAATAATGGGTGATCAGTTATCTGAATTGCTGGGGCAGGATCTGATGGGGAACAAATGAAGAGGGAAAACAAAGCTCCTTATATACAAAATTCTGGGGAGTGGCCAGCTTGTGGTTGGAAGATAAGTGGGACATTCTATGAAGAGCATGAAACAAGGGAAAATATTTATCCAGAGAAAACAGGGGAAACAAGCAGTGGGAAAATGCTCCCAAGGTTACTTAGTATGAAACCAATAAGGGGGGAATATTCCATGGAAGGAGATAGGAGGAAATAAATGTTTCATGGATCAGGTGGATTACTACTAGTGTGGAACACAAGGGGTAAGAAGAATGGAATATGTTTGGAGGGGGATGAGTTTCAGGAGTGGGGAGTTTCTGGCTGGGAAATATTATTATCCATGTGGTCTGTGCTTGAGGGGATTCATGATTGGTTTGGGGGTCTGGGGAGCTTTCTGGGGTGTCTTGATCCTGTAATTCTTGTGTGATTTTTTGCTCTTGATGTGCTTGAAGATTCAGGATTGGCTTACCACAGCGGGATGATGTTTCCAAAACTGGGTCGCTTTTGCAGGGTTGATTTGGATGAGGAAAGCGTGAAGGAGTTTGAGATCTTCGACGGAGGGAACAATGCAATACAGGAGGAAGGAGGTGCAAGGGTCGATGATAAATCTTCGACTGAGCTCACCACCCACCCTCAGATGTGCTTCGATCAGTCGGGTCCGCTCGATGTCGGTCAGTCGGGCCTGAGGGTTGTAGAGGTACTTCGACCGCGCCTCATCTACCGTCTGCGGCGGGGTCCGGTCTGCCACGAATCTACTGATCACCATCTTCAGTAAGATCACGGTTTGCTCCGTCCTGATTGCCTGCACCAGCCTCGTCACGCCCTTCAGGGTTGGCAACAACACCGGTTCGGCCTCGGTCTCGCTCGTCAGACGCTTTTTGAGCGACCAGGATGACTGCCAAAGCCCGAAGAGGGTCTCAATGTTGTCGGTGAGGAGGCGTGAGGGGTCCTCAGGAACCCCGTCGAGCTCGTAGCCGTCCCGGTCGAACTGGCGCTCCTCGCGCAAGAGCCAGTCAAACGGATGGAGATCGGGGCCGCTCGATGAGCATGCGGAAGGCTTGCCGGTTGGCTCGGCACCAGCCGCAGATCGCTCTCGGACTCGAGCGCTGTAACCATCCGCAAGACCAGCCGAGCGAACCTGAACCCATTGAGTGGCTCGCCCAAGATTGCCCGGACGAGCGGATTTGCAAGCTGGGAGAGTGCCGACAAGAGATTGTCCAGTGGCCATCCCGCCCGGCCAACATTGATCATCGGCAACAAGTCCAGCCAGAAGCTCACCAGAAAATTGGCCCGACCGAGTCTATGTGTTGTCTCTAGCGTCTGCCTATACATTCGATAATCTTCCTGCAAAATTCCCTCGTGCGACCACCGATCACTGACGGTGTCGAGGACGGGATACTGGGTGAGATTCAAGGCAATCTCCGGCGCAGGTGCTCGATGGAGGGCTTCACAGGCGTTCTTGAAGAGCTTGGCGTCGTCCCTGTTGAAGGGCTCGGCGGTATAGCAACATGAGGCTGAACGGATGATGGCCGAGAGCATTTTCAAGACGGCTTGATCGACAAGAGAGAGGAGATTGGTCTGATTGCTTGCGGAGGGATTGAGTTGCTCAGGTGTGATTTCTACAAAGATCAATTGCTTGTCCTCCGTCGTGATCTATTGTCGTGTGGTTGAGATAGACCGATGAGGACCATGAAGATCGTGATTTGCTGTTGGATTTTGAAGGGTGAAGTAGGCTCATTCACGTCCTCGATCAATTTCAAGGTAAAAGAGTCAAACCTTGCGGCAAGGATGTAACGGAGGAAGAGTGCTAGTGAGCGAGGGGATAGCTTGCTGAAGAGTCGTGCGTTTGTTGAGCGGGGCTTGTCAACGTCAGATCCACTGAGAATCGGTGCTGGACAGCAATCCTCCAAAGTCGTTGATGAAAGCGGATGAGGGATCGGCCATGAACGCCCCAGTGCGATCAGCAAGGCCACCAGATCATTGTCCAAGATTTTCCGATTCGCCGCTCCGATCAGCTTGTGGGTAAGAGTGAGACGTGCCTTGTTTGGTTTGGGGACGGTAGGCTTGGCTGAGAATCATTGCTAGCAAGCATGGCCCATGAGCTCGGGAAGGCTAGCTTTCGCATTTGTCTTTAGTATGAAACAGCTTAAATATTTGAATTTGACCTCTTGTTTTTAGCAAGTGATACCGCAGGTGGTTTAAATTTCAAAGAGTTTCATCAAGAATGCAGTGAAAAATTTATCAGAGTTTGAATCTATATTTACATGAGTTGTGTGGGGACGGTCGAGTTATATGCAATGACAAATGGTTTTGGATGACTTTGTGACAAAGGTCAATCTGCATCTAGGTGATCTGTATGAGTATGAGCGTAGGGTTATTAATCCAAATTATGGATCAACTTAAGTCTAGCTTGGAAAGACACAGAAGCGTCGGTTGGGTTGTCAGTATTTTTTCATTCGCTTAACAGCTTCCTGTATAATACTTTTACGGGGGCGGCCACGCTTGGCTGTTTTGGTTGTGGTGAGTTCGGCCTCACACACATTCTCTTCTTCTGATGTGTCGTCGGAGTCTTCGTTTTCGTCGCTTTCAGATTCATCAATTGCCCTAGCCTTGCCCTTCGAACTCTTATCCGTTGTTGGAGGTTGAGGTGATATGTTTTCACCTAATGTAGCTCGGCTGGCGGGTAGTGTTGCCAACTTAGGCTTTGTTGTGTCAATTGCGGTGGGTGAAGAGGTTGGCAATGCTGTCTTCGGCAAAAACTTGGTGCTTTTGGGATGGTGTGAATTTCAGGTGCTATCGAGACTGAGATTCTAGTCTAGAACTTACAATTTTCTCCCTCGGTTGGGGCTAGAAGTTGACGGACCCAGATTATTTTGGTTGACACGACCAACTTGATGTCCAGATGTAATCGAGACTGAGGAAACCTGAAAGAGCAATGTCATTTGCTGGGCTCTGGGGGTAATGTAAAAATAATGGTTAGACTACGCACTACAACTACAGCAATATTGTCGTCCATGTGGAAGTCAACCTAACGCCCAATAATGTTGACTTCCCGCCCAACTTGGTAGAGCGTGTGGGTTTTGACCAAATTTTTTGTGCCTGGGACAATATACTTCATGTTAAATCAACAATGGACCCGTTCCTGTGAACAGCTGAGTTTAAGTCATTTGAAAGCGTTGCATGATGGAAATAATGAGCTGACCTCCCCATCCCAGTTGCAATGGGCGACAATCACTTCTAGATGAGTACCAGTGTCCGCAGACTGGTTTGAAATTTCTTTGCGCGATGTGAGAACTCCTTTGGGATGGGTTGGCAGTCCTTGAGGGGGAAATAACAATATGATATTTCACTAGATAATATTTACTGTTACGGGTGGTTTGAAAGACCTGCCCCTCTATTTACTACACAAGAATTCTGACAACAATTTAATTTATTGTTGTGGCGTAACTTTTATGATGGAGAAAACTTATATGTAGTAGTCTCTATCAGATCTAGATCAGTATGTAATTCAATACAAGATGGTTGTACAACCTTTACACGGTGAGTATGGGTGTGAAAACAATCCAGGTAGAATATTTTATAGGGTTTTATGGTTTTACGGTGATTCTGGATAAGTAGTGAAACTGTTGGTTGTTGTTGTTGATGTTGATGTTGGTGTTGGTGTTGGTGTTGGTGTTGTTGTTGGTGTTGTTGTTGTTACTGGTGTTGACTGGACTTTAATGTTGAAGGTGTTTGTGTTGATGACCACTGAGCTGGCTGGGGAATGAACCGGCTGGGTGATGATGGTGTTGACCACTGAGCTAGCTGGGTACTGTGCTGGCTGGGTGATGATGGGGGGAATTGGTGAAGGAGAGGCCTCCTTATATATTCTTTTCTGAGTTATTTTTGCTGGTGGTGATGCAGTTGAGGTTATTTTGCTGGTGGTGACCTTGTGGGTTGCACTGCCTCCTGCAAAGAGTACATGCATTGAGCTAATTATGCTGTGGAAATAACTAAATATGGTACTACTGTATGTAAGGATTGCATAACTGGTTGCACTGCCCGGTGGAGGTTGTTCTGTCCACATGCATTTATGCAGAGTCTGCGTAAATTCAATTAAGTAACTAAGTGGAGGCCTAATGGTTGCACATATGCATGCAAGAATTGCATAAATGGTCTGCACTACTGGTGGAGGCCTTCTGATGTAATAATTTATGTGTATGAACTTATATATATGTGGTAAAAATACTATTAAATACTAATTAATGACTAGTTATGGTATGGCTTTAACCTTTATATTGGATTATCTTCTAAACTAATAGAGGTAGAGGTATAGTTGTAGTGAGTGACTATGGGTAAAATTGTATGCAGATTCTGATTATGCAATAATATGTTCATATATTTAAGTGGTTTAGGTTGTAAGGTAGGGGTTTTGGCAGTTTTGTTGCGCACAACAGCCTGGACCACCACATCCCCCCCCAAATTAATGCTGTCCGCAGCATTCCTGGTGTAAGCAAGAAAACTGCCCCAAGCCTCTAGTTGACTAATTTTATTTCATTAATATGTATTGATTTGTAACTGATATCCTACTGATTCTCCTTTTCTTCATGACTTGGTCCTTCTGTTCATCTGATTGGGTTTCCACTTTGATTGAGTTTCTGCCGTCCAGGTTTTTCTTCATTGTAACTGATTTCTTCCTCTTATTCCCAAATTATAATATACGTTTGTCCTTGTTATTCTCCTCGTCTCGTTCTCCGCCTGCCACGTCCAAATCAAAGGCTCCAAATACGACTCTCTTTCATTCTATTTCATGGGTATTAGTCCAAAGAAAAGGCTGGTGGTTGATGTATTTGAAGGCTGTTCCAAAAAGAAAGGTCTCCAACCGCTGAGTTGAATGGGCTTTTGAATACACGTTCAATTCACCGTCCCCCCGGAAGGATTCCTTAACTATTTCTTCCACATTTTCATTCTATTTTTCCTTCACATCGATAATCTCTATTCAAGTTTAAACTATATTATTATTTCGCATAATTGGTTGATCTAGTATCTTCTGAATTTTCTTCCTGTTTTAGTTTCTAATCTCTTTCTCTGTGTTATTCCAATAAATAAAGCCTCCAGTCCTTGTCATTTAAAAAATTTGTTTTCGTATAGTATCCGTTATTCTTCTCTTCAATTATTGGCCTTAAAATTCGTCCTCCACTGACTCGTTGCTGTCTTCATTACTTTCTCTGGAGTCGGATTCTTCTTCCCTTCTACTTTCATTATGACTAATATTACTACTTGTTTCATCTTCTGACTTGCCTTCTTCCTCCTCTTCCAATTCTACTTCTTTAAGGTGTGAATCCACATAGTCCTGTCCGTGCATAAATAATGATAATCCATTCCCTGCCGTGTTTTAATTTTGTGTTTTGGCCCTGCCGCTTGATTAATTTTTCCTATCCAAATTAGATATACAGTTTTAAGTCATGTAGGACCTCCCATTGTGATTGATAATGGGACCTTGATTTATCTTGAGGGTTTGCAGTTTAACATCTTACTGGACCTCTTCAGTTTTGAGTTTGCAGTTTAAGGTCATACAGGACCTTGATGTATTTTGAGGGTTTGCAGTTTAAGGTCATGCAGGACTTTGACCTCCTTCTCTTTCTTTCTTTCTTTCTTTTTTTTTTTTTTTTTCTTTTTCTTTTTTTTTTTTTTTTTTTTTTTTTTGGTCTGAGGGGGTGTGTAAGTATGGTTTTCCGGGTGTTGTGTATTGAGTGGTGGTTGATGAGCTGTAATTGCATTTTTTTTTTTTTTTTTTTTTTTGGTCTTACTGGACCAGATATTTGATACGGGTCAGCCCCGGTTTGTATTTCAGTGGCCCAATCTGATGCGTCTGCAGCCAGGTCTAAACTACGAGCACCGCGCGCAGAATTTGCATGGAGGGTGTCACACGACTCGTGAACCTCTTAGCCGCCGATCTCTGATGTCTACCTCCGCTCGATGCCGGCAATGTTCGTTACATCGATAGCACCCGCCGCAACCGCAACGGTTTTTCAATACTCCCCAAACACTCCTGCAAGCGATCTGGCGCCTCCACACGTGACGCTCGGCCTCAGTCCGAAGGGGATCCCTTTGTCTCTTCTCCGACCTCCGCCGCCGACTCCTTCGTTACCCCGCAACGGTATTCTAAACCCCTGCCCTCGCCGATCATTCGGTTCGGTTTAGTCATATTACATTCTCCGGCCGATATTCAGCTCTTGCTCTCAACCAACGCCAAGAATCCTCCAAGGTCCTTGCCGTTTTCCAACGGTACGTCCCTTCGGATCCCCCGCTTGTAAGTTCTCTTCATTCTCTATCCTTTTGCCGTACCGGCCTTAGCTAGTAGTAGCCATCGATCGATGCCAGGATCCCCACCGACGTCCTCGTCGGCTCGCAATCATGCCTCCATCGCATCCGCCAAGCTCTGTACCGGTAAGTTTATCTTCTCTCGTCTTCCATGCAGCTTGTTTGCAGCCCAAAAATCCGCCTGAAAGCTACATCTTTTGCTCCGACGAAGCGATTGCGCTGTGGGCTTATTCGCTCCTTCCGATCAACGCCAATAACTCGTTAACGTCCTTGTGAACCGGCAACGCTGCCTCGATTGGATCCTCCGAGCTCTACACTTGTAAGTTACCGCTAGTTGCTTTCGATCAACGCCAAGCGCCCTTCCACGTCCTTGTCATCTCGCCTCGCAGCTGTGCCTCCACCTTGGAGCGCTTTGTGTCTAATGGTCGCCAAATTTTGTTCGATGCCGACAGTATGAATGCAATCTCCTCCGTTTGTCCAACAAGTGCGCCAGCATCAAAACGACTCCCCCAAGATCGAACCTAGCCGTTCTTTGAGGCTTCTCCCCTCGATCTCGAATATAAAAGGAGCCCCTCGTCGCCTCTTCTTCATAATCCTCGCCGTCGGCCCACTATCTAGCTCTTACATCGAATGTTTGAGTCGGTGTTCACCAACCTTGTCGATTGTTTCTTTTAGCCATGTTAAATGCTGGCCAACCAATTTATCACCAACTTGATGTTGTTGAGTTTACCTTAAACTCTTAAACTCTTTGTGTGACCAGTACTATGTCTACCAGGCTTTTGAGTAAGTCTTCTTCTCTTTTTTTTTTTTTTTTTTTTTTTTTTTTTGTGTATAACTGACAAGATTTTTTTTTTTTTTTTGTTGTATATAGGAATGGTGTTGATAATTGAAACCTGGCCTGAATGTATCCCTTTTTCTTGTTTCTTATATTATCATGTTCTTTAGAGTAAAAAAATTAAAAAGAAGAAAAAAATCCAAAAAAAAACTTTTAAAAGCCAAAAAACTTTTTCTTCATATTAGCCATGTATTTGTATCTAGCCCTGCTACCTTGTGTGTATGCTTTTTTTTTTTTTTTTGCAATACACCCTGCTCCATGACCCAAAAAAATTGTTATTAATACACCACTGAAGAATGTGAAAAATTCATTTGTAAGTGAGATAGTTTTTCAAATGAAAAACTGGTAGCCTCCAAAGCTAGCATTTCTTATGTTCTTAGCTTTGTAGCTTCTTGATATGTGCTTTTGTACCACTTTAGTGCTCCACCTCTGTACAACCGCCGCCTAATAGCAATACTGACTGGTCCATATCTTGAGTTCCAGGTTCCATATCGTAAAAAACTGTCTGCCGCTGTTGTCGTGAGAATCTGGAAGAAGTCCAATGATCCCAAGCCGCCTCCTGGTAACTCTTGTAACCATAAGGGTAATCTCCGTAGTGACCTTTTCTGAGTAGGCCAGGTGAATACCTCCTTGAACCGCGGGTGTAACCAGACCTCCTCCTTGTACAGGCTCCAAGCGTCTCGTTCTGGATCGACATTTGTTCCCCATACGGCTGAATTAATTTGGTGAAACATATCCCAGGCCGCCTCGTCCACTTCTGCTGCGCCCAGTTCTTGTGCCCAATCTACCGGTTCTGATAAAACAACCTGCCATGGATCTTCATTTAGAAGCGGGATTGTTTTATTGTACTCCTCCATCTTTTCCTGCAGGTCGAAGTCTTTTGAACTGATACTTTCAGCCTCCCATTTGTCAACTTGAAAAGTGCAGACTTGTCGAAGTTTCGGTGGTTCTTTGTGCCATCCTGGTGTATTTGGTAAGCATATTGGTATGCACAACCTCCGTTGATCTGTGTCCAAAAAGCTTAACACTTCTCCCTTCTGACTTGATAACTCTAGCCGGATATTATGGTCTGCAAGGAAAGGTCGCCCTATAACGGTATGTACTGATCCCTTAACAATAAAGAAATTGGCCAGGTGAATGTGTCCTGGGAATACGCTGACGGGTATGTTCTCCGCAATCCCAATAATTGGTGTAAAATGTCCCCCGATCCCCTTCAACCGCATGAATATTTCTGTTGTTAAGAGTCCAAGTTGGTCTGCCAGACTGTCCGGAATGATGTTCATTTCCGCACCAGTATCCACCAAGGTCCTAATTTTGCGTTTATTTATGGTCATATCCACCATTCCCACTGGACAAGCGTAAGTAAGCCCAGAATCTTGTTCTTCATTATCAATACTTGCGTTGGTTGCACAGTTGAATTTGACACTGTTCAAACCTCTTTCCGCTAAGTCTTCCTCTGGTTGTATCGCATGCAAACTTTGTAAGAAATTTGGTGAGATCTTCAAGATTTCTTCTAAGGTGAGAGTGTACGACTGGCGGTAAAATTTGGCTTTCAATGATTTATCCAATTTTTGAATTATCTCCTCTTGTTTATCTCCCGTCTCCGTCCTAGTCTGCTTTTCTTTTGCCGGCGGAACTGGTCGGGTCTTAGCCTTAGTAGGTATAATAATCCTTTCTTCTTCTTCATCGTCGTTGTCTTCAAGCCAGGATCCCGGAAAACTTTTTCTCCTTGCGGCTGTTTTCGGCCCCTCGTCCTGAATATTTGATGGTTGTCCCTCTGTTCCTCCAGGGTTGCTGGGAGCTGGTTGGCTACCAGAGGGTGCATTCTTCTCCTGTAGTCGCTGAGATTTCCGGAGCCCAAATCCTAGGTTTTTTTGTAGGTCCCCTTCCTCCATGTTTACTTGTGGTGGAACCCAGGATCCCCATTCTTCAATTTCTGCCACTGCTGATGTGGATTCCTTTACGGCGTCCTTGGATGTAGGATTTGAAGAAGCACTTTGCTCTTCCGCAAACTTTCTGACTAGTTCTCTAACAGATGAATCCTTGTCTAAGACAATTGCCTGGCGGTTTGGATAATAGTAGGTCCCCTGAGACTTATACACCTTCCGATCCTGCATATCTTGATTGAGGTATTCACACTGAGTGACCACATGTCTCTCCTTGCAGTAGAAACACTCCAAAGGGCCATATCTTGGTCTGTTATCTGAGGGTCCCGGTGAAGATGGTCTGCTGACGTGTGGTGGTGCTTGACGATTCTGGTATTCCAAGGCGGAAGTTAACTTTGTAAGCTTTTCTTCTAAGTCTTCCTTGGTGGCTGGTTCCTGAATCTTGACCGTCTTTTTGACCTGCTCCTTAGGTTTGTACTCCTCATCATCCCCATCAAAATCAACAATTATCAGAGCAATTTCCACGTATTTCTTCAGCTTTTCCAGATCTGGAACAATGTTTCTCCCGTCTTTAGTTGTCTGGAGTTGTTTGGCGTGGGCTAATTCCTTGGTAACTTCTTTCTTCAATTCCGTGGAGAGTGCCTTCCACAATGGGTTTCCGCTGTCTGGATTAAGATTTTGGTACTCCATCCTTGTAAAGTAGTCCATAATTTCCTCAAATTTGCTGATAAACTTCTTGTATTCCAGTCTAGTGTTGATGCCACCATTTTCCTGGGCCTTGCGTATGAGTCTAGGTATAGAGTCTTCCTTGTAGCGCCTCAGGGGTGTTGCTCTCCCCCATTTCCGGATCAACTCTTTCTTTAAAAGCTCCCAATTTCCGGTTTCGTGTCCTTCCATCTGCTCTATAGCTTCACTGATTTTCCTATTACTGATGATGAAGGGTAATTGGAAAGCCACGTCTCTTCCGCCTGCCTTCTGTAACACCGCAACCTTCTCGACTCTTTTTATAAAAAGTTCCACCTCCGTTCCTTCGAAGTAGAGGTTAGTCTTTTTCGTGTCCAAAACTACTCCTCTCTGTTCATCCGGAAGTTTTATTTCTGTCCTGACCCTGGTTTGTTCAAACCCTGGTGATTGAATAGCTGAAGTAGGGATACTTTGCTCTCCAGCGCCAATGGTTGTCTCCAATCCTGGTATCCTGCCGGTGTAAGGGGTTGACGTCCCAAATCCTAAGGTGTGTACCCTTGGGGATGGGGTTTCTGATAAGGGTGGGCCACGGGGAGATGCTGATTGACTGAAGAAAGATTTCATCATTTCCTTCATTTCCGCCATAGATGATTCCATTTTTGATATTTTCTCTTGTTGTTCCTGGATTATCGCCGATTGGTCCATGCTGGAGTCCTCCGGATTCGCCATATTTCCCTGCTGCCGTTTTTCCCGTTCGATTTCTTCCACGACTTCCTCGAGTGAATGGATCTCCTGCTGTGTTAAACTACCGTTGTACCAAGTCCTCCTAATCCTATTATCTGTAATTGTCTCCTCGCCTAAGTCCATTGGGTTGTCCGTTTCCTCGCCTGTCCGTGCCAAAGTCGAATCCTCGTGCTCGTGACGTAATCCAGGGTCGGATGTGAATCTTGATGATATTGATGATACGTTGTTGATCTTCTGAAAGTTGTTGGCCACTGTTGGGACACCAGATGTGAGAACTCCTTTGGGATGGGTTGGCAGTCCTTGAGGGGGAAATAACAATATGATATTTCACTAGATAATATTTACTGTTACGGGTGGTTTGAAAGACCTGCCCCTCTATTTACTACACAAGAATTCTGACAACAATTTAATTTATTGTTGTGGCGTAACTTTTATGATGGAGAAAACTTATATGTAGTAGTCTCTATCAGACCTAGATCAGTATGTAATTCAATACAAGATGGTTGTACAACCTTTACACGGTGAGTATGAGTGTGAAAACAATCCAGGTGGAATATTTTATAGGGTTTTATGGTTTACGGTGATTCTGGAT